TGAACCGAACGTACACATGCCCACTGAATGCGTCAAGTGCCCACCGGGACCACCCGGACCACCAGGAGCTCCAGGAATGGCAGGTCGAATGGGTCCACCCGGTCGACCAGGTCCACCAGGTGCTAATGCAACACCAGGACCACCGGGACCACCAGGTGCACCGGGAGATGCAGGACCAGCAGGTGAGAGCACTAAAAATGTTATTGTTTCAGTGGATCAAAATTCTCGTAAGATCTCAAGTTCATTTGTTTCAGCAACAGAATTGATACCTGACAATGAATGATTTTTCTGTATTTCAGGTCCACCTGGATATCCAGGACCCCCGGGGCCACCAGGTAGGGACTCTCAGTCCAGCATTGGTCAGAAGGGACCTAAAGGACCACCAGGACCATGTGGTCCTGCAGGTAGACCGGGTCCACAAGGACCACCTGGATATCCTGGCGCACCTGGGCCAGCAGGTCCACCTGGACCAGTTGGTTGCGGTGGACAAAAGGGTCGACGCGGGCCTGCAGGACCGGTAATTTAATTGTATCTGTTGTTTTCAATTACGGAAACGAACAGCGCCGATATAATCTGGCGAGAAGCATGTTCAAGTTCTTGTTAATCTTGAGAATTGCAGCGTTCTGAATGGAATTGCTAAAAGTAGTTCTAAGAACCCACAGCAATCATTCTAAATCATATTTTGTAATAAGCGCACTTGGTAAGGATCTGCAAATGAATCAAGCAAATATTGCAGCGCGGAGAATCTGGTGAACGTGGTGATGATGCACTCTATTGTCCATGTCCTCCACGAAATCTCAAGAGGAGGCAAGCTCAAGTACCAGACGTATCGAAACTTTTCGAGGAGACTGAGTCGATGACACCGTTCGAGAGACAGCGTGTTAGAGCGCTGAAGGAATACGCCGAAAAGATCCATTATGAGGAAATGCTCAGAGAGGCTGCCGCACAGAACCAATAGAGAATGAATTGTTGTGATTGTAAATCTGATTTGATTTGCAATATCTTCAGTATTGACTCGCATATCTCAAACACACGATCGCAATTGTTTTCATGTTTCTTCTCGCTGAACGATAGCGTTTTTGCTAACATTTCTGTAATAATTTCTTCAGTTTTGTAATAATTTCTTCAATTTTGTAATAATTCCGTCAAATTTGACTTTGTTCTTAACTGTGTTTGTATTGTAGTTATCATAATTGTCTCATGTTCATGCCATTCCAGTATATTTTGTTCATTTCTATATTCCTATTGTCATTTAGGTTGCTATTTTTATCAGCAAATTCCACTGAAGCGATACTGATTCATGAAATAATTTCATATTTGGGTGTCCACTTCAAATAAACTCTGCATGTGAATGCATCATCACTTCAACCTCAATTGCGAGATTCAGAGTTGTTGAGATTCCATTTCAATAACTTCAAGTTCATCAACGATTCGATGATGTGCACATTAGAAAAAAAGAAGCAAAAGAACCCGGTTGTGATGATGAAATACGTTGTGGTGATCAGAGTGCTTCGAAAGGTCGTCGAAGATGGGCAGAATGTGAAGAAAATTTTTTACATTGCTCTATGTTGAATACTTTTGGTCTACACCAAATGCCATGGCTTTTAAATTTTCTTCGAAGTGTGGAATTTTTCCAATCAAAACAAACTTTGTAACGTGGTAAACAGTCGCGACGAGTTGATGACTACACAAGAGTGCTGAATTTAATTGCGAATGACAGTTTTGCGTGCATTCGGCAACGATAAATAATTGTTTCGGCAATGTTAGAAAACGTAATTTTAGCTGTTTTCGGTGTTCTATTGAATAGAGCACTTCTGAGGGCGATCCAACTCCGTGCAATTTCATAGAAATCCTTCGCTGCTGAACGTGGATTAGCTTCGAATTTCAGATAGATTCATTCGGAATTCGTTATATTCGACTGAACGATTCTTTTTTCTGTACTGAAAAACGAGGAAATTGAATCGCTTGATCAGTAGCAAAGAGCACATGATCATTTCATGAACAACAGGTTCATGCACACATGATTCTATTCGCTAATCACAAAAAAAAAAACAAAGCAGAAACATCATTAAGATTTTCGCAAATCACGTTTTGAAACATTCACGAAAATTTTTCTAAGAATCGGAAACATGTTTTCGAATGTTAAGCGTCGTCAATTCAAGATTCTGAAACGGTTAATTCTAAATTTTAAAAAAACTGTTTGCGCTGAATCCTTCACTTGCATCCATCCGGTTGAGTTGGCGTTGTTCAGCCAAGCACCAATCGGCTTTCATTTCACGAATGAATATATGTGATTGAATCAAAAAATGAACAATTTAGAAATTTCACTTCCTTTCAAAAGATGAAGTTGATTTGAACTTGGAGCTTGATCTCTGTGGCGATCATCAGCTTAGATGTTGAATGCGATCTCCTCTTCCAATGGTCGACTGGATGGATCATTCAGAGAGCAAAACACATCGATGAAACAAACAGTAAAAAGAAACAATTTTCATGAAAATAAAACAATTTTTAGGAAACCTGCCACCGTCTCGTATCATATTCTCAAAATTAATTGGCTCTCTCACTTTTCTCCGAAAATGCCTTCCAAGGAATTTCAAGAGAACTTTCATCTTACCACCACAACGCCGGAATGCGATATTGCTAAGCAATTTGTCAAGGCAAACAAGCACAACCAATCCATAAATTATGCTTCGCTTCTATTTTCCTTCAAAATCGCTCATCAATTTCTTAATGTTCTTCCAAAACCACCGACCAATTCAGCAATATACGAATAATGACTGGATTTCGTTATTGCTAAGAAAAGTGGCTGCTTTCGGTGATGTTAATTCATCTTCATGACAACCACTTTGCAGGAATTGTTTG